AGAAAGTTCATAACTTCTCGGGTCTTTGTGAATCCTTAGTCTGCTAAAGGCACCAAAACAGCTCTTCTTAACACAAACATTTCATAAGTACTGGATGAATTCCCTCATGTGTCATTGCACACTTCTGATTTCTTTGTCTTTTCAATATTTTTCTCTTCATTTCTTTTTCAGACTCATGTACCCTACCAACCACAAATGAAATGATGGATGACATCGATGAGAAAATGGGGAAGAAACTAAAGTGGTGAGTGCTAGCCCTTGCTAATGACAGAGTCCCAAAGTTGCCTCTGCACATAGCAAAGCACCATCGGTCTGTAATTGGTCACCCGTCAGAGTTCATGTTTTTTGAATACCTTCAACAATCAACTGTATCAGATGGGTAATCAGTCACGAAACCTCTATTTAACTCTGGAACAAAGATTCTCTGATAAGAACAATTTTGCTCTCCAGGGAACATTTGGTAAAATCTGGTCATTGCAAGCAGGGAGGGCTTACTACTGGCCTTTACAGTTAGAGTCTGAGATGCTGCTGACCATCCTATAATGTCGGGCACAATCCACCAACCAAAGGAGTATCCAGCTCAAATCAGAATAGTGCTGCTGCTGCTGCTGCTGAGAAATGACTCCCCAGCGTTCCCCAAACGCTCCTACTCCATCAGCCCCGTCTGTCAGCAAGTTAGCTAGTTGGAAATTGTGCAGTGGCTTCTAGTTTGCTGGAATAAGAAAGCCAAGTAAAATCTTGGGTTGAACTTCCCTGCCCTAGTGTTTTCATCCAACAGAGTTTGGCTTCAGATTCATCCAAATGTGTTTTCAAGCATAACATCAATGAGAATTGTAGAAAGTCCTGTAAATGTCTAGGCGTCAGATACTTAAGTGGACTTTTCATGTTCATTACTTCCATAACAGAAGACATTTTTCAAATGATGTATCAAAAATCTGTTGAAAGGATAATTAGGTAAGGGGCATATAGACACCTGTGTGGGAAGTTTCTTCCTCTTTCAAGCCTCTGACACATTACTCCTCTAATGCCCCAAAGTGGGTGCCTGCTCAGGGCCTAGAGAAGAAATGGAATCCTCAGAGTGAACACAACCTCCTAGCTGACCTCATGAGATTCTTCTAGGAGTCACGGAGGCAAGTGATCCAGTGTGCTACGATTCCTGCAGCTTGATATCCTTTCCTTTAGAGGCCAACACGAAAAAAGAGGAAGGAAAAGAGGCCTAAATGTCAATCTTATTACTTAAATGACCAACTACTCTTCCAGTTTCCTTAAGGATGAGGCCACACTCCAACTAAAAGTATGAAACAATGTACATTAATAAATGACAGCAATATTAAACTGTTCACAGGCCAATATAAAAATCAAACATTGGGGCGGATTCTATGCAAAATTGTATAAAGAATAATTGTGTTAAAGAGTAACCTCAGTTGGGCTGGGGACATAGCTCCGTGGTAGAACGCTGGCCTGGTACGTATATTCAATCTCCAATACTGCAAACCACAGTGAATTAAGTTAATCATCCACCTTGAACCAGAGCGTCAGTTTGTTCCAGGCCATGTGGTCAGAGATAAAAGAAAACTATATCAAACTCAGATAGAGATTAGGGAGAAAAATGAAAGAAAAAAATCACTTATCCAAAAATAAAAAATAACTTCAAATTTGTAGGAAAAGATTGGGCTGAGGGGCATAACTAGAGGTGCTGGCCAAAACGTTATTATTCTGAGAAAAAAAATAAAGATTCATGCTCTGTTGGCAGCTGTGACTCCTACTCAGGCATGTTCTTTTCCCTCCTCAGGTTTGGCCAGAGCTGCACTTTGCAGACAGATTACATCACTTACATGGATGAGCTGGCCTCCTTCATAGGGGCCAAGCCTGACATAGCGTGGCTCTTCCTGACCGATCCCCGGCTGGCCCTGGAGGTCTTCTTTGGCCCCTGCAGTCCCTACCAGTTTCGGCTGATGGGACCAGGGAAGTGGGAGGGGGCCAGAAATGCCATCCTGACCCAGTGGAACCGGACACTGAGGCCAACCAGGACAAGAGCCGTCAGCGAAGCTCAGCAGCCCCATCACTTCTACAATTTGCTTAAAATGCTTTCATTCCCGCTGCTCCTTCTGGCTGTGTGGCTCACATTTTATTCATGATAAGGTCCTCTGGGTCTCAGAGTTCTGCCCAGGACTTTAATCCCCAAATAAGACACTGAGACACACAATCAATCACCAGGTAGCCCCTCCTTCCCTTCCTACAGATGGGCATTTGAACAAAGTGGAAATAAACCAGGAAACACCCAGCTGCTCTGTTTCTGAGGAGAATCTATTCTTTTAAAAGGCTTGTCACATGCTGAACTGAAGTATGGGAATGTTTGAGAGGAGGAGAAGGAGGGGAAGTTGATTGATATAAACAGATTTTCCCACTGGAGGAAGTGTAGTAAGCTTTGTAAAAGTATTTTATCCTGTCATATAGCATATCAACCAGTGCCTTTTCCACAATAATTAGTGTTTTACAATAAATCAAGATAAAGGTTTATAACAATATAACAACTTAGACAAAATGAATAAGAAATTGCTTGAAAGAGGACTGGCAGTGTGACCCAGTGGCAGAGCTCTTGCCTCACATGTGCAAGGCCCTGGGTTCCATCCCCAGTGCTGCAAAGCAAAAAGAAAACCCACTGGGAGTTCCACTAGGAAAACCCACTGAATGTGTAAGAAGCATCACTGCCAATCATATGCAAACTCTACCAAAGAATTAAAAAACACATCCCTCTCCTGCTCATTGAAGAGAGCATCATCCCCTGATACCAAAGCAACACAGACATTCCAAAAATCTAAAATGCAGATCAATATGATCAATATTTCTCTTAAATATATACACACAAATTCTTAATAGATACAACATATAATCCAGTACACAGAATGGGTAATATATCATGACATGTTGCATTTATTTCAGGAATACAATGTTGGTTTAACATTCAATGCAATTCACCATATTAATGAACCAAGAGTGAAAAACCATGTATGATCATCTTGATCGATGCAGAAAAACATCTGACAAAAGCTAACATCCACTCCTGATGAAAAAACTCTTAGCAATAAGAAGAAATATCCTAACTTGATAAAGTGTGTCATTAAAGAACCTACAGCTAGTATCTTACCAAACAGTGAAGGACAGAATGCTGTGTTCCTAAGATCCGGAAAGAGGGACAGACTGCCCTCCCTACTCCCGTTCAGTAATATACTGGAGCTTCTAGCCAGACACAGGCAAGAAGAGGAAATAAAGGACATTCAGACTGGATGGGAGAAGTGAAACTCCTGACACTTAGCATGATTGTCTATATAGAAATCATTGTGAAATCTACTTAAAAATACAAAAACAAATGTGCCGCAGTCTGGCTGGGCACAAATCACAAGCCACTGAAGCAGGAACAAACTTTATTTCTGAACTCCACCAGCACACTCCACACACGCTCCCCGGGAACTATCCCGAATGCCATGTGGCTCCTCCTGGAACCAGCAACTGGAAATATCCCTCCTCAGGCACTTCCCCAACCAATAGGAACTCTCCAGGAATCCCTGAGAGAACTCCAAAGTAGTGAGAACTCCAAAGCAGCAGGCCTAGGCGGACAGCAGGGGTCTAACATACACAGCTCAACATAACCATCATCATCCCAACGGCCTGCTGGCTTCACCTCTCAACCACTCCGTACTGGCAAAAATGCCATGCATCATTCAGACTCGGCTATGGCTCTCAGCACAAATGATTGCATTTCTTGATTATTATTATTTTACTTATTTTTTTTAGATATATGTGACATATTTTGCCATATTACACGTATGGAGTATAATTTATTTTATCTAGAATCCCATTCTTGTGGTTGTACATGATATGGAGTTTCACTGCAGTGTATTCATATATGAACATAGGATACTTGATTGCATTTACATATACTAACAATAAACAATAAGAAACTGAAATTTTTTAAACTGTCATTTTATGAAAACATCCAAAATTATGAATACTCCAAATACATCTGGCATAAGCTAGGTAAGATCTATACACTAAGAACCACAAAGCATAGAAGTTAAAGAGCAAAATCAAGCTGTTCCAGACCTGGGCTGAGACTCGGCATCGCCATAATGTCAGTCCTCAGTGCGATACTAACCAAATTCCCCCACAGTCTTTCTAAGAAACTACAAGTGGATTCTAAAGTCCAGGAATGCAGCAGACCTCAGTTGCCAAAACAATTCCGAAGGGGAAAAAAAAAGAACTAATTTGGAATTCTGACCTTCCCTTATTTAAAAACTTACTATTCTGTGAAGCTACAGTAATCAAGGCAGTATGTTATTGGGATAAAGATAAACCATTAGGCCTTAGAAAAGAAAAGACTATCCAGAAAGAGAACCACACAGACATGGACTGAAGCATGAGGGGAGACAGGATGGTCTTCAATCAGTGATACCGGAAACACTGGAAGTTCATGGACACAGGAAAGAAGAGCTTTGACAGTATCTTGTAGTAACTTACAAAAACTAACTTGAAACATATCAAAGAACTAAAAGCAGACTTAAAACAACACAACTTGAGGAAGAAAGCATAAGATAAAATCTTTGGGTAAGGCAAAGACATTTAAAATACAATACCAAATGCACAGTTCATTTAAAAAAAATATAAATTGTACTTTATCAAAATTAAGAATAGTTTTTCTTAGGAAAGAAAATAGTGATTATATTGATATTTACAACATCTATATTAAGTTAGTATTTAATAAAAGCAAGATGAACCTGTCAAACTGGAGAAATAGAATATAGTGGGGAAAGTTCTGATTTGAGAAGAAAAATTCATAACAAGTTAGGTCAGTTTATTTTTAGGATTCACAAATTTTATTCTAGTAATCAAACCAGATGCAGCTCCAAAGTGTTCTGTGTGTGTGTGTGTGTGTGTGTGTGTGTGTGTGTGTGTTCATGGCATGTGTTTTCTATACTAGGTTACATAACTGAAAGGAGCCCTTAAGATCTGAAGAGTGATTCCAAGGGTCCTCTGCACACACCTCTGTTACTACTCCATTTCACCTGGGACCACAAATGAAGGATGATCTGAAATGTACAGCGTCCTGGGAAGAAAACCCGCTCTGAGTAGAGGGCAGGGTGTGAGAGCTCCCTTCCCTGCTCAGACCTGGTCCCAGGTGGGCGTTACTCCCACATCTGGTGGAAGTGCAGGTCAGTGGAAGTGTGCTATTGGATCCTTCAGACTTAAGTGTCTTTGGGCCAACTGGAGACTTCCTTGGGAAATGAGGCTCAGTGTCTTCTACAAGCAAATGGATCACATTTTCATTCCACTAAATTGGACAGAAAGCTCCATGCGCTTGGTGCTGTGTGCTAGTGGACATCAGTGCAGCCCTTCCCTTTACCACCCATGCAAAAGAAGAAAACAAGGGGTCACTGAGGAGGAACAAGGAGTCAAGAAGCATTCCAAACCCAAGGACACGCCACTCTTCAGCTGGGACTCAGCTGATGGACTGTGAACTGTCTGGGTGTGGATCGGGGTGTACCTATGATTGAATCTAGTGGAAGGACTGTACCAAACAAGACCATCTACAGTAAATCTCTTCATACCTGTTCATTATCCATAATGATCACTGATTTCCTTGTAGGCTGGTAGCAAGCCTGACAGGCAAGAGACTGCTCTGCTTTGTATGTTGACACAAAGGAAACTGCACTCTTAATACTATGTTTTGCTTTTGAAATGCTAACATCAATTAACACAGAAGAAGGAAATAACTGATATGGCCCTTAGTCGCAGAGGCTCTTTAACATTGACTCTCGACTCTCTGTTATATATCCTGTGTCAGGCCTGAATCTTCTACAAACATCTCTTCATTAGTCTTTATGGCATTTCCTGTATTTACATCACCCTGCCCTGCTTTATAATGAGGAAATAAAAGCTTTGAGGTAGCGTGGGGATTAACGGCAAAGCCAAGCCTCTTGCACCCTAATCCCATGTTCTTTCCAGAAGCTAATTGGCTGTCAGTAACTTCCTCTAAACCGCACATGAGGGTACTAAGAGCCAAAGGGACACGGGCATGTCACCACCCATGTAACATTCTCGAATGCAGAGAGAGGACTGCTCTTAATAGATATGCATAAATGCATTGTGCCCATTTTATTTCTATATGTGTGGTGCATATATACATACACACATAAATATACACATACATATACACACACACATATACATATATACACACATACACATACACACACATATATATGTTGCACACAATGTATGTTTGTGTGTATGGGTACATTATCGTATATATGCACATATTTACAGAAAATGGACACTATGTATTTAATCATATCCATGGGGAGTACTACCTACTTCATATATGAAGAATACTACATGTGTATGTGTATGCATGTGTACATGTACATATAATGCATAAACATAGTATATATAATACGCAGTAAAAAATTTGATCAATATTACAAAGTGTCGGGAGCCTCCACACCGGAACCGAGCGCCGTTTAACCTTGAGTGATGGGAGTGTGGAGCTGTGGCAAGCCAGCCATGGGCTGTGTGTGTGAACTATGAGCACTGAGCGCACAGGGTGGACTGAACCCTTGTTGCCCCTCTGTTTGGGAGAGCGACATTAGTGTCTTTTATCCCGCTCTGCCTATGATCCCCACACAGCACATGAGATGGCCGTGGCCTTCCTAGATGTCAGTTAACCTGCTGACCGCAGACATCAGAAGCCAGACTCAACCCCCTGAAACCTGACCCCTTGCCTCATCTGAATGGCTTCTCCCCAATAAAAGGGTTCAGCACCTGCTCCTCTCTCTCTTTATTGCCTGCCTTGCCCCTTTGTGGGAGCTGTGGCTCATGAGTGGTCACTGAACCCAAAGAAAAGGTATTGTCTGTGTCTGTGTCTTTATTTAGTCCTGGATTCACTTGGAGTGACCCTGATCAGTTTAGTCGTGTGAAGTGACGAGAAAGGAGATGGGAAAGGAGTTGTGCCCCTAATTCCCATAATGTTCAGGAGTCAACTGTACGTAAAGGTTTTATCTTAAACTGAACTGCAGTGACCTAGGCTTTCAGCTGTCCTCTGCTTAAGATATAAGGTGTAGCCTCGCTGACTACCTTCTCTTAGGATAGAAGAACTAAAAACAGAGTCCTAATGCCTGAGTTTGTTAATCTCCTCCAAGAGAAGAAATTGTCATCTTCAGGCATTTGGGGCCCTAATGTGTCACAGGTTCTTCACTACCCCACCCT